TTATTTACTATCTTTGTTGAAAACCCCTAAAAGGGGGAAATAGCACTATTCATCACTTGCACTGTTCAATAATGAACAACATCCTACACTTACTGTTCACCATAAATAGTATCAATCTTCACCATCTCCCGACGGTTAGAGACAAAAGTACGTAGTAGATTCTGATGTTGCCTCTACTGGCTGACCCACCTAGGATTTCTTTGTACTGATAGATCTGCCTAGGATCTCTCTTTATTTGTTGACTCACCTAGGATTATTTTTCTACTGGCTTACCCGCCTAAGCTTTCTACTGACCGTAACTAAATTTTTCTGGTTGCTGACATCTTCAAGTATTTTGGAAAAAGATGACATTGTCAAAGCTCTTGCAACTAGTTGTTTTATTTCAATTTTTTACAAGTTCGACATATATAGTAATATATGCTCCAGCTTAAGGGGGTGTTAGATAATATTGGTGTTTAGATTTAGGAGATATTATGAGATATTAGTGATATATTATGAAATGTGATTGGATATGATTTTGTCTCAAACCTATTTTATAATATTCTTCTAATCTCTATTTAAGAGAGGTTAGATTTAGATGAATAATAACTTTTGTCTTTTCTATTTTTTCTACAGACATATATTCAGATATTTTAGATACGGATGAGGATGTTTTACTATATATCTGTATCTGTAACCATATCCTATCGGATATAGATAATATTTACGGTACAGATACTTTTTTGCACCCCTAAACTTGGGTCAAGCATTCATGTGAAACATGGGTTATATGTGTTCCAGATGCCATTGTACCTCTAGTAGGTTTGAGTGGGCTAGGCTATATCTTACTTTGATGTGTTACTTTTGGCAAAGTTTACACACAAAATTGTCATGACTATGTTCTGTTCAGATTTGCTAAAAGCCTAAAAGAAAGTTTTTGGTCTATCTTGATGATATGGTCAATAAAAATACTGGATGACTTCTAAGGACATCTTTGTCCTGCTTTCTAATCTTATAGTACCTACTTATCTATTACTCAGTTTGGTGATACATCTATATGACTTAGTTACAAGTCGCATATGACTCAATTACAAGTTGCATACTCTTGTGATTTATCATTTTGTGAGTACACCTTGGAATTATCTTATCGCCATTGCCTTATTCAGTGTTGTTATTTGAGAAAAATCTTTCGCCATGCCTCTTCTATTACACTCCACTGTTGTCTCGGCAATTTGAAATTACATGCATGCTCTTGGTTTATTCATCCTATTCACTGTTTCTTTCTTTGCTGGTGACCTCTCATTTATTATGTTAGACACTAGTATTTCTTGGACATTCCTTGAGCACATGTGAGAAACTCTTCAAATTCTTAGTTATATTACCCTGTGTATTAATTTCTGAAATCAGACAGCTCCTGCCAGGTGTTCTATATTTTGGATACACTTTTTTACATGTTCAAGATAATACATGAATTTAGTGAATAAAGGCTTCCGAAGCATTGACTTATGGAAAAATACTTCAAGTTTAGACATGCTTCAATAGTTCAATATAAGCTGTGAAACATATTGACCTAATCGACAGAATGTTGAAGAGCCAAGAGCTATTATGTCAAAGTTTTACGGTATTGGTAACATTGTCGTTGTTTATATTTATTAGACGCGTGTAGACTTCTTTTTGAGGCAAGGACATGACTCTTTATATATGTACTCTTGACTCGTGCTCTATTATTTGTACATATTCTAATGTCATGCCTTTGCTTTTTAAGAAAATGGGAGAAAATTTCTCTGTCTTTGATTCCAATGCAATGTGGGTAATGTGAATACCATTCATACCTCTTGCTAATAAAATATTTAAAAACTGTTTTGGAACCTGCAACTTATCTCCAGTTTATCTGGAATTTTCTTCTATCTGCATGTCTCTTCTATACGTCTAAGTCTGATGATCTAATGGACGATCCGATCATGCTTGTTGACTTTACTCTCTTCTTCTTGAACCTTCATTAGTGAATGCCATGACTCTAAGGACATTATAGTGAAAGTACATTAGTATTTGGCACATGCAATACACATGCGTGAAAAAATTTAAACTGTCAATTCATTCAGGCTTCAGAATAGTTACTTCGAATTCCATCAGTTAATTTACCATTAAGGGTGTTATAGTCAAAAGGAAAAAGTTCCTATTCATGGTCCCACATATTTGATATGCATCCAAAATTTTCATCTTTCATTTAGTACTTGTGGATTCTTCACCACTTCTTGTGTTAATGGTGGAAATAATTGTGGGTTCTCCCTCAGTTTCTTCGTTTCTTACCGCTTGTGAGGTCCAAATTTAGCAAAAGAAAAAGGAAACAACCAGCACTTCAGGGCTTTTAACTATTGCTAGATTTAGTGTAAACCTCGCTTTAAATCTCTCATATAGGACCAATCATAACATCAAGAATTTAATCCAACTTAGACTTTTGGCCCCACCAGAAGCATGTTACCACTACATGTGCACTGGAAATCGCAAACATTGTCACGCCCCAAAACTACAATGGAAATTCATAAACGCAGGTTACGCGACAACAGCGACCCATGCACAAGACACGTCTTATGCACGAGTCAAGCCTGACACTTCATATCATATAGTTTATCACAAAATATTTATAAACCTGCTGATGATAGAAGTTCAGAGCAACTATATATATGTATATAATCAGTACTTACAACCCACAAGCTCAAAGCATGTTACCACTACATGTGCACTGGAAATCGCAAACATTGTCACGCCCCAAAACTACAATGGAAATTCATAAACGCAGGTTACGCGACAACAGCGACCCATGCACAAGACACGTCTTATGCACGAGTCAAGCCTGACACTTCATATCATATAGTTTATCACAAAATATTTATAAACCTGCTGATGATAGAAGTTCAGAGCAACTATATATATGTATATAATCAGTACTTACAACCCACAAGCTCACCGTTATAAGCATTTTATAAAATAAAGCACATTGTTGACTGAATTGTAACATTCAAAAATGAGGCTTTATTTTGTAAAATGCTTATAATGGTGAGCTTATGGGTTGTAACTACTGATTATATACATATATATAGTTGCTCTGAACTTCTATCATCAGCAGGTTTATAAATATTTTGTGATAAACTATGTGATATGAAGTGTCAGGCTTGACTCGTGCATAAGACTTGTCTTGTGCATGGGTCGCTATTGTCACGTAACCTGCATTTATGAATTTTCGCTGCAGTTTCGGGGCGTGACAAATGGTATCACAGCAATTGTCAGCCGGAAGTGTGGAGCTAAGTGCTATGCAGGGCTAAGTGCTACACAATATGATGCGGTGGGAGCCACCTCTAGAGCCTATAGGAGCCACCTCTAGAGTCCACATCGCATGGCGGTGATACTCGGATGTGCTAATTGCCATACCGCGACGAGGATGTCGCCTTCGTAAGGTGGGGTAAATGTGTGACATCCCACTGACAGCGACAACGATCGCGACATTTGCAAAAATTTAGTCCCACATCGGTGAGAGAATGAGAAATTAAAGGGTTTATATAGTGAAAGCTAAAGACTCAAGTGTAGCATCGGCTAGTCGATTTTGGCAGTGGTTTGAGCCAAACAGTGCATTACACTCGATGGGTCCCACGGCTTGCACGCGCCAACGGGTCCGCGGGCCCGGGGTGTGACAAACATAATCTCTTTGCAAAAAAATTCGTGGTCTAAATCATAAAAGTGCATTTTATCTGAATATTATTTTTCTAATTTGTTATCAGGATAAGGCAAGTCCATCCCGGCATGCCACATGTTATATGGTAGACATTGACCTAGATGTTTGTATTAGCCCCACCAGAAACAATGTTAGCTCTGCATGCACACTGGAAACTTCAAACTTGATATGATCTTGATTAATCAGTCAGAACCTCAAGATTTTAGTCTTCAAGTAAAACTTAGTCTATTAGCCTCACCAGAAACAATGTTAGCTCTGCATGCACACTGGAAACTTCAAACATGAGCTCTTTGTAAAAAATTCTTCGTCTAAATCGTAAAAGTGCATTTAATTTGAGGATTATTTATCTAATTTGTTATCAGGATAAGGCACGTCCATCCCGATACGCCACACATTACATAGTAGATATTTTCGTAGATATTTGTACTCAATTGGAATTAGCTAGTTACTAGTTATTCCTGGAATTGGATATAACCTTGATAAATTGCCTGGTGGTTCTATAATGAACTCTATATTTTTTCCATTTTTCTCTTTCAACCATCATCAATCACCTTGGAAATGATTTCTAATACTAGTTGTAGTTTATTATGATATCTCTACGCAAGAAACAACTCCAGTTGTATTATATTATATAGATTAGTAAGATATTGTGATCATGAAGTTTTCGGGTAATGTGTAATCATTGTCAAGTCTGCCCTATGAGCATTCAGTGCACTGACAATTTAACTATTCTCTCAAATGCATTGAAGGGTGCGGTGGCCATTGATTATGATAAGTTTTTTCACCACTTTTAAAGAGAACCTTTTTTCCATAAAATTTTGAAGGTTGGCAATGAATTGGAAAATGGAAATTTAAGAGAACTATTAGTCGCCAAAATTTTGCTTCTGTTAACCGCAGATCCAAAAGCCTGTCCATGTGACCGTTCTACTTTTCTCTCATATTTTTTCTCTTGCAAACTCTTGTAACTTTTCTTTTAACTAAATTTCTTCTCTCCATTTCTCTCCCATAAATCTTGTCAAAACTTTTTATTTCATCCATATATTTACGTCATACTGAGCTATTTGACATATTTAAAATTATCAAACATTTTAGCTATACAAAAGTCTTTTATGAAAGGTACTTTTGGTCATGTCCATCTACAATAGTACTTGGCAAATGTTGAGCACATCCTTTAAGCATGGGTTAGCTAGTTCCATTTCTTCTCTTTATTTCCTGAAGTTCCTGTTCCCACTATTCTAATTGTATTCATTTACAAAGTTCAAATGATGTGCATGATTTTCTTTTTATGCAGCAAATATATGTTCTGCTTCTTGTGAACTTTTGGCAAGGTTGATTTCTCTTCCCTCTAGCAGTCAAAACAAGTTCAGTAATGAAAAGGTTCCTATGCTCCTTAGTTCTTTGCAGGTAACAAAAAACAGAAACATGGACAGTATTCTATATTATGTGCATCTTTCTTTGGTCGTAGCTTTGATAAGTAGATGCTAGATAGATCTGAAAATTTTGCATATAATTAGGATGAATTAAAAAAACCCGGAAGAAAGAAACCATACTATTAATACGCTTGCCGTTTACAATACAAAAACAAAATCTTGAGATACGTGGCCAAATTCCAGAAGATGTTTTCCAAAATAAGAAAAATAGATACTTTCTCTGCATCTATGTAGAAACTTTCTTGTAGATTTCAACCTCTACATGACAAAATGGGCAATTGCAAATTATAACTCTTGTTAGCTTCACAAAGATAGTTTTTTTTCCCAGTCTGATCTCTATATCTCCAATTATATAGTTTTTTCCCAGTCTGATCTCTATATCTCCAATTATATTTGTTTCCTTGTAACTTAGCACAAAGATCAGAATTTAGTCCTTCCTTTTGTTCCCTTGTTATGTTTCTTTTATCAAATTTGTCTACTTTCTTATAGTTCATGACAAAGTCATTAAAACTGGGGTATGATCCAATAGTTTTATGGTACTAAGAGAGACATGTAAGAGGAACAAGTTCCCTGGCTAACTTAAAGAAGAATATCATTCGGTCTGTGTCTAAATTCAATATTTTTACTATATCAGGAGAAACATATATGACGAAACATGTGATTGCATCATTTATGAATGAATAATTTTATTGCATCACATATTGTGCATGCTATAATGGTAGCTCTCTTACTAGGGTTACCAGGACTGGGGTTTGAATCTTTCTCAACTGTTAGGAAAGCTATGATAACAATTAACTAAGTGGAGGAGAAAGCCCTCAGCTGAACTGAAATTCATTTAGCTGACTTCAAATGCTTGGGATAATGATTTTGCTGTTGAGAACGTAGGAGAAACATATAAGCCAAAACTGTGGATACATCCAATAATTCTCCTATATAATAATATACATGTAAGAGAAAATAAACAATGAATCTTTTAAAGTATGGAAAAAGAGAAACCACATGAAAAGCCATTCAACCTGCCTAAAGATACTTTTGCTTGATGGAGACACTCTAGTTATTTTGCTTTCTCTTTGTATTTATAAAACTTTCCACCTAACCATATGGTATATGTTTTTCTGCATTTTTAATTACTCTTCAACCTTTAGGAAGAAAGACTGAGGAATTTAAGGCAGAGGTTGGAGGTTCCATTTGATGGTTCTCGTTTGGATCATCAGGTAAGCTCTCCTTCTCTACCCATTCATGATTTACTAGTATAGTAGGACAAAGCTCTTCCTGGTTTTCTTTTTTATGTGGATCATTTGTTGATGATTCGTCATTAAGTTTAAGATGTTACTATAAATTTGATCTTATTACAGGATGCCTTAAAACAACTCTGGAGGTTGGCTTTTCCTCATCGAGAACTTCCTCCTCTCAAATCGGAGTTATGGAAGGAGATGGGTTGGCAAGGTCCTGACCCATCAACAGATTTCAGGTACTTGAAATCTGAACAACCTGTTTAAGATATATATGTTACTTTTGTGGTTCTCGGTTGAATGTTAGATATTGAAACTTTTCTTTTCAGGAGTGCTGGATTTATCTCCTTAGAGAACCTTATATTTTTGGCCGAGAAGTATCCAGTAAACTTCATTTATTAAATTGATGATCTTGTTTGCTTTCTAAGAAGCATCCTTGAGCTCCATCTCTTCCTATTGCAGCAATCTTTTCAAAGACTTCTACACAAACAAGATGGAAAGAGGTCTGAATGGGAATACCCTTTTGCTGCAGCTGGCGTCAATGTATCCTTCATGTTGACTCAAATGTTGGGCCTGAAATCTGGTAATTTTGGATCTTACACCTAGGAACTCAATGTGGAACTCTGGATTTGAAGCATTCTGAGTCTTAGCAGGCACTACTTTTTCAAGAACTGGAGCTCGATTCATTGAATTGCTTGAAGCTGATGAGATGGCCTTCGACAATCTCTATTGCGTAGCTTTTCAGTTGCTCGATTCAAAATGGGTTTCAATGCATGCTTCTTATATGGAGTTCAATGTAATATTAACATTCTATTGTTGTTTCTCTCTGGATGATTATCAAGTTTCTATTCTGATTCTACCCTTTAAATGTATTTTTGCAGGAAGTCCTAAAATCTACAAGAACACAGCTTGAGCATGAGCTTGGTTTAAAAGATATTTCCAGAGTGGAGGACCTGCCAGCATACAGTGTGTTAAATCGGTAGCACATGGTTAGTTCTGATAACTATTGTTTTGTTATTAATTTCTGATATTGTCTGATTTTAGTTTTATCTTGAGTCCTGATATAAGAGTCTTATCTCGAGTCCTTGATTGAATGTCTCTATATAAACCATTGAAAGCTTATTAACTTGACCACGAAAGTGGTCATATTCATATGCATATACCAAGGTAACTCAGTTAATCCTCAAGTCTTGCTAGTCCAGCAATGATGCGAACTTGTTTTGCTTATCAATATATAACTTCATAGTGCTGGGCCTTCTGGCGTTGTTGATCATTTTTTTTTTCCTGATTTTGCATCTTGTATTGGTTTTATTAACATGCAAACAATCTAGTTGTGTCAATACTTGGTAGCTACTTGTTTATCAGATTGACAATTTCATAGTTCAGTCGTATATTTTTGGATATGTTCAATTTTCAGTCTTGTTGATTTTTCTGCTGTATTCTTTAGGTTTATCTCTAACTTGTTCACTACTACAGCTGGTTTGTACACATGGCATTTGTTTATGTTAATTGTCAGCTACCAAGTAGGTCTATTTATGACTAATACCACCTACGAAGGACATTTAGCTTTGGTCATTTGAGTTCACATCTTTCCCAACTACTTAACTAGTGTTACTTAACTAGTATATCCCAACCAATGAGTGTACCATTTCTTTAAAAACATCTGTAAATGGTTTTACTGCTACTTAACTAGTATATCCCAACCAATGAGTGTACCATTTCTTTAAAAACATCTGTAAATGGTTTTACTGCTGGAAACTTTCTTATCTTCTGACAATGAGTGTACCATTTCTTTAAAAACATCTGTAAATGGTTTTACTGCTGGAAACTTTCTTATCTTCTGACGAGTTTCTAGTGCAGATTAACCAACATGATGTTCACTCACTACTCTTGGGATGGTTGTTATCAAAACTGAATGTAATCAAACTGTACCTTATAAATTGCGCTCGTTACTGATGGACATTTTTATTCCTATTGATCTAGGGAGTGCCTAAAGTCTCTCATCAAAATAATCTGCCAGTTGTTATCCAACATTGAAAATAAATCATGTTATCTAATTTTCCTGAAAATGACCATCTTGAATGTTACATCCAGGCTTGTAAACGTAAACTATCAGTGTGTTTTATCGATAGTAAATCGAAACACACCATGCTAAGATGCGCCAAGATGCCTCTTGTTGGTCCTTGAGAAAATATTGAAGCTTTTGTAAGGCGAGTAAACCATCTTCTCAATTTTTTTGTTTGTTGATGTCTTGCAAGAAAATTCAAATCAGAAGAGGAGGAGGGAGGGGGGGGATTGTGCACATAGTTGTTACTCCCTCAATTGGTCAGTCATTCTTAATGTTTTGTTGAACCAAATGAATGTAAAGCTTGTGCTTTTGGAAAACCCCGGCTCAGTGGAGAAATAAAGATTGATGAAGGCTGTGCCGTAAAGGGTGCTTGTTTATTTGTTACCAAGCAGATGAGATTTTAGGAGCATGTCTGAAAAAATTGTGTTTGGTATGACGTTATGAACCCAAAATATACGAAAACCTAACTGTTAAATATGGATGTAAAAGATATAAAGATTTTGGTATCAATGTGATTTTTTTAGTTTAATTCTATGTTCTCAATTTGGTTATGTTAGTTAGTATGACTGTCGCTATAAATTTTTTTAGGTTCCATTTAATCTCACTTTGAATATAGATTGTCTGATGTGAGTTTATAGAAATTTGAATCACTGACTTTAAGAGGTGAATCCTCACAGATTTTTATTAAAGGGTTTATTGCTGATAGACCCCTGTATTTTCACTATTTTGAACTTACTACACGTGTTTTATTTATTGTTGCAGATAGACCCCCTGATTTTTTCGCTGACTCTTTAACCTGGCAAATATTGTCTCTTACTGAAATTAGGCGAGCGTATTTGAGGGTTGAAGAGACACACACACACAAAAAAAAAAAGATAAAAAAAGACAAGCGAAAAACAAGCGAAAAAAAAAAAAAAAAATGAAAACAAACTGGGGTCTACATGCAACAACGAAACTGCAGAGGTAATTAGTTCAAAAGAGGAAAACAACAGGGTTCTATATGCAATTATCCTATAATAAATGACATCATACTTACTCCTCCTAGTTGCAATTATGCAATTGGTAAGCAACAATCCTCACTAGTTCGATGATGAATCATAAGATTCATTTCCTAGC